TTCCAGGGCCGAGAAGCATCTCTACATCATGATGCTGCCACCACCGTGCTCCATTTCTGTGAAGCTTCGGCTCATTGTCTTGATGAAAAACAAGTCTTCTCCAAGTCTCAGATCTCCTGCAGACTGCATCAGGTGGTCCTCCAGGATTTCTCTACACTTTGCTGTATTCATTCACCCTCGACCTTTACAAGCCTTCCAGGCTGCTGCTGAGAAGATCCCCACGTCATGATGCTGCCACCACCGTGCTTCAAGTTTTCAAATGGCGTATTTGTGATGATGTTCAGTGTTTAAGGTCCAACCAAATATAGCATCTAGTTGATAATATTGAACAAGCAGATGGGATGAGCTGAAATATGAAAAAATAAAATAAAATTTGTCGTGAAAAGTTCCATCTTTGAGCTCATTAACAAAACCACTGATAATGCAGAAGTCCACCAGTGATGTTGTCTGAACCACGTGAAGCTGCAGGTCACAGTAATACAAACCTGAACATGTAAAATACTTTATTATGATGAAGCAGAAGGCGGCTGATGATCTGAGAAGGTTTATTGCTCTTTATTAGGTCCTGATGTCTGAACCACGAAGCAGGATTTGAGTTCATTCAGGTAACTTCAGGTGGTTCAACCAGCTCACTTTGAAAATGTCACCATGAATCCTGAAGGTCCTGCAGAGTTCAGTGGAGGAGAACGTTTAGAGTCTCACATCCACTTTACCGTTTTATAGGCCGTTAAATATGTCGATATAAACCTCAAACACTAAAGTCTCGTGCTTCTGGGCTCCTTCAGATCTGCGCTGAGCGAAACTATCAGCTTGAATGATGTTTTTATGCTTTATTTTTACTTGTTTACTCTGAAAAAGCCTCATTACGAAGCATCACGTCGACTTTCTGTCCACAAAGTCAAAGACAAAAAAGGCAGCTTTCAGTTTTCATTCCCCACATCTGTGGAACGAGCTGCAAGAAAAACAACCAGCGCCTTTAAATCAAGACTTTTCTGTTTGCTTCTGAATATTTAAAAACTTTCTCTTTTTTTAATCTTTATTCTCTTTTTTATCTCTGTGAACTGTTAAAATATGTGTTCTGATGTTCCTTTATGATCCTCTTTCACTTTGTCTCGACGCCTTTGAACTGAACCTCGTTGTTGAAATCTGACGGGCAAGTTTGGGATTTTTTTTTTTTGTGGACAACTGAACTCATGTTGGACAACTTTTGAGCCAGCGGTTTACAGAGATGCCGTCTTTCTGTGATGCGAGTTACGCTTCCGTCTCCTTTCTCATCATTTTGGACAAATTTTGAGCTTTTAAAATGTAAACATGAGCTTTCCCTAGAAGCTCCTGCTGACTGCTTCCCTCATTGTTTCACTGAATCTCTACCAAACGGGGACAAAGTCGACGTCACATGCACGGAAAAACGAAATACAGCAGGAAGAAATCCACCCGAATTATCCTTTAAGTTCTCACACAAGTAATTTGGTCGCAGCAGAAAAGACAAACGTAAGAAACTGACAGCAGCTTTTAGCACAAGCCTAAAATAAACATACAGATTAAATACGTTTACGTCACATTGAAGGCGTTTAAAGTCTCATTTAAAACTTAGATAAAGGTTCCTATCGAGTGTCTGTTTGCTCGTCTGACTCGCAGCCTGAAGGTGGAACATTGAACTGTGGATTCAGACTGATCAGATCGCAGCTTGATGTAAAACATTCATGTGAAACAGATCAGAACGGCTTCTGTCTTCGTTTCCTTCAATCTGTTCGGTGTTTTCTCGCGTCACACGCTGACATTACAAACAGCAGAGGAACGTCTGCATCCAGACATCCAAACTTTATGAGTTAATGAAGGAAGTGACGTCCGTTTTTTATCGATCAGAGGGAAGTTTGAGCTTCAGCTCTACAATCAATAATCAAACACATTCAGATGCAAATCAGCGTCGTCACACCAGTTTGAGATGTCGTCAGCCACTGGGCTTTTTATTATCCCCAGAAGACTCATCATCAGATTTCATTCATGTTCAGCCAGTTTTTATGATGTCAGAGCCAAAGATCCCATTTCGCTCAGTGACAGTAATTAATGCTCATTTAGTGGCTTTCAGCAGCCGTGAATGAGGCTTCAACAGACAACGAGCGGCCACAACATTAAGACCACCTGCATCACCATCAGCTGCTTCCTTTGTCTGCAGAACCTTCATCTAAAGATCAGAGTTCTGCCTTCAGACTGTGAATGTTCCAGAGGTCCAGGTCCTTGAAG